TTAAAATAGATATTTTTGTATTTCCGAATATATTTGTGATTAAAAATATTTCAGAATGGTTGGTATAATAGTCGGTTGGTCCATAATAGTTTTAAACAATGATAATTGATCCCACAAAAAAGTGCGAATTTTTTTTTTTATTGAATAATCTCTTACGGTGTGGCGTGTGATGTAAGCGGAGACCAAGTTTCGTATACTGGTGGATTTGCTAATATTCATTGGAGATTGGTTTTGATAAGCGAAACGTAATTTATTACTAAAATCAAATAAGTTTATTCAAACAGAACAGTTTACTCTCTAAAGAACCAAGTATCATCACAATCGTCACAGTTGCAATATTAATTAGCAAAGCTCGATAATTATGTAGCTCAATATCGACATGCCTGGGACGCGATTTTCCGATCAGCGGCCTTTAACAACCTGCTCTCCCATGTAGCTTTCTTTTAAATAAATAAAAAAGTGATTCTTTACTTTTTTTTTTAGTTCAGGTAACAAACTTTGAAAGAAATAAAAGCTTGCATAGATATTGCAACAAACTACTACCAGGAGAAGAAACTTCAAAGTCGTTAAAGGCTACTGGATAGTCAATTAGCGCCTGGGATTTGTAAATATTTCGATTTATCGTTACATGCCCGGCCTGGCATGTAGATACTTAATTAGAATTAATGTCAAGGCTGACAATACAAACAACATAAATGGTAAGATGCTTCTATTATGCATCATACCGTCAAGATGCCTAATAAAAAGTACCGTAAAAATCAATAATTGTATGGGAGCCCTGGTGGCTCAGGGGATAGAACATTCGCATTCCAATGAGGTGAACCGGGTTCAAATACCAGCGATGGTTGGTCGATACGAATTCCGCATCCTGCTCGCACTGACCACAGTGCTGACGTAAAATATCCTCAGTGGTAGACGAATCATGGGTTAGAGTCCCCTTGTCGTCATGGTAACTGTGAGAGGTTTTCGCTGTTTTCCTCTCCATGCGAATGCGGGTCCTCTACGAAGGCAAACTTTTCTCCCAATACTTGATCCAGGAGTTCCCTTGTCTTCTGGATTGGGTTCAAAATTACTAGGATACGGAGTTGAGCACCCAAAATTGGGTCGGCTGTTCAAGAAGGCAAATTTCTCCCAATACTTGATCCAAGAGTTCCCTTGCCTTCTGAATTGGGTACAAAATTACAGGCTGCGAGTAGAACATTAGCCTCAAACCCAAAAAATTGGGTCCGCTGTTTAACGACTGTTATAAAATAATCGTAATGGAATAAAAAAAATGGCAAAAATGGGATTAAAAACGAAAATCATTTATATGCATTTGTTAAGACCTGAATGTTATTGAATTTAATTACACAATAAAGAATTTATCTGATGGTCCTCTTTATAAAAGTGTTGATATAATGTTATTAATGTCAATTTTTCCAAAACACTAATAATCGTTAGATTAATATACTTTCATTAATGTGTAATCAAAAAATATATTCGTGCATGTATTTTGTAAATTAACATGCTTAGTAGGGCATGTAAAAATTGAGAGTTTTCAAACTCGGTTAATTAGATATTTCAGAAGTGCAATTAAGATATTTTAATAATGTTGCAGCAAACCAGATATCTATGGGAGGGATTGAGAGTTTGTGATTTTCGTTTTACTCAACTGCAATAAGGAGTAAATCATGTATTGAATTTCAAAAAATATAGCACAAAAAATGTACAAAAATACTTTTTCTTCAATCCTAGAAGAAAAAAAATCCGGCTATTGAAATTACGTTGAGTTATTTTTAACATACAAGCTTTTAATTCGTAATTAAAGCAGATCGTCGTTGAGCTTTTAATTCTGGACACAGTTAAAAACGCGTGTTTGAAGAAATTGACACAGCTCAAAATATGTGTTTAAGAAAATGAACCTGGACGAAAATACGAGATTAAGAAAAAATAGGAGCAGTATTTGATTCTGTTTTTCAAGCTTCTTTTATAAAAAAATTTATTTTTTAAAGAATAAACTAATAGTTCCAAATAAATTCGTCATGTAATAATCAATTGATTGCCTTAATCAGCTAGTACATTTTTTTTAAATAGCCTTTTTTGAAAAGATTTTTAAAGTCAACAGTTGTTTTTTACGAGATCCTATAAATTTATACTAGTCATATAAGACTTACGTTGTATGAATTTAGATTTTTTAAAAAAAAAATTCTTTTCGTTTAGTGATCTGAATACGAAGAAATCGCCTGAAAAATTACATCTCAAATAGACCAACGAAACCGACCCTAATGTCCTGACTTTAATTCGTAATGATTATGCTTAGTGTTTAAAAAAAATTAGAAAAAGTAAGTACAATATTCCTCATTGAGTTATTAAATATGGAATGACACATTTTTTGCTGTGGAAATTTTCTTAAACATGCAGTTTTAGCTAAATTCCTTTTCTTAAACACGCATTTTGAGCAGTACCAATTTTCTAAAACACGCATTTTAAGCTGTGTCCATCTTTTTAATTACGCATTGTGAGCTGTGTCCAGAGTAAAAGGCTCACCCACAGTATTTAAAATTTGTAATATCTCTTTGTAATATCTCTCTATGTAGGCAACGTTTTTTTGCACTTCAACACTAAGTGCACATGACAAGAGTTTTGAAAAAGAAACAAAAAGCAGTTTTTCAACTTTTATAAAGCAACTATAGGATTTAAAAGAATTCCGAATCTGTAAAAGTATTTCCTTGTTCCTTTTCATAGATGAAAGAGAAGAAGAAAAAAAACAGGTAGCTAGTTTAAACAATATTTTTTCTTCTTTTTTTAACTTCGATGGAACACCATTATAATGCGACAAAGATGTAGAATTTCCTAAAGGCCTCTAAATAATAAGGAATTTCAAACGTTTGAAAATTGTCGCACCTTTTGCACGATAATTAGCTAGATTTCAACATAATTTACAGATAAATTTAGCCAAGGGGTCGAAGTCTACTATTGGAAAAAAGTAGTCAAATGGTGTCAGTAATTTATTCGGACGTTTCGGAATCCCCCGTGGCGATTACGGAACAATAAAAATGTGAGGGGCCCTTGTCGAAAGACTCGACCTTTGGGGCCCACGGGGTGACGGAATGGGTCATTTCCGGGTGTAACGGACTGCATTTGAAAGGCGTTCTCCAATCTTTTTCGGATAACCAAAAGAACGACTAAGTCAATCCCCACGCAATAAAGCAAACACATTTCCTCCATTTAAATACAAGGAGGAAAATACAAATAATACTTTAAGAAATAAATCAGAAATTTCAATTAGAAACACATTTTAATAGCATGTTGGTTCGGGACGCATCAAGCCGTACGTCAACGGATTCACCAAAGTTTAAATATCCGGAATAAGACGTAATTAATTGGTTGCGGTAGATTAAGCCATTAATTACACTTAAGATTAAGTAAATAAAGGCCTCGTTTAATTTCCTTAAGTAAAAAAGATGAAGAAAAAGGTTTAAAAATAATAGAGATTAAGTGTCGGAAATAGTTTAATACAGTGAAGTAGAAAAAAACATCTAATCAAGAAAAATATTTTAATATACCAATGGGTAGGATGAAACGTTCAGTTTAAAAGGCACAAGAGTCGATGTGGAAATGTTGCGATAAACTCAAAATAAATAATGAATCATAAGATGTAACTAAGGTAATGATATCAGATAATGTAATAGGATGTAAGCGCGGGACAAAAAATAAAATAAAATAAATAAATAAATAAAATGAGGAAAAATCACAAGGACATATCGTGATCTTGCAGCCAAAATTTATATAAAAAAAAATATTAGATTAAAAAAAACTATATGAGATTGCTTGATTATTGATTTAATGGTAATGGAAAGACTACTACCAGTTTCGCATTTTATATATATATATATATATATATATATATTTATATTTTTTCGTATTTGTTTCGTATTTTGTTTCATAAACAAAAATGTATGTACATTTTTGTTTTCAAATTTTTTCTGAGAAAAATACGAAAAAATAAATTTCAAAATATTAAATTATAAACGTTGATTCTTATTTCATTATTATATTTTCCAAAAAGAAAAGTTAAAATTGTTATAATAAATTATGAAATAATATTATCGAGAAATATTAAATTTTAATTTATTTTAATTAAAAAATTTTCATATCATATTATAATTACACTAAAATTCATTATAATTGCTGAAAAATCATTAAATTCTGAAAAAAAAACCTTTTTTTT